AGTGTGTAACCTCTTCATTAACCATACCTCCAATGACAATTCTGATGCAACCTATGTTTATATTTCAATAAAAACACTTTTGAAGAACACCCAAACCGTTGTATTGCTGTCTGGATTCACTGATTTGCGGCCATCTGGGTTGTTCATTAAAGTGACAATTGTTGGGAATTCAAAGTGTATTCAAAGTAAGTTTTAAATGTAAAGCCAAAGTAGCCAAACTGTAAAAATAGTTGACTTGGAGATTGTTTCTAAATTGGCTATTTTGGCCGGAATTTTGAAATTCACTTTGAATTTACTTTGAATCCCAGTGATTCTCAATTTATTGAATAACCCTGTTTGGATTTGTTAATATATTTATGAATATTTACCTGACTCTTTGTCTGTAAAAAGAACATCATTCCTAGTCTGATAATGCTATTATACTTTGACTTGTGACTTGTGTGGTGACATTTTGTCATCAAACTAATATGGTGACCAGGGGTCATGTGACTAAGCTCATGAAATGCCTTTCTTACAGGGGGATAAGCTTTACCCTTTGATATGGTAATTCAATACCTTTACAAGTCAGGAAAGAGATAACTACTTCCCCCTATCTCCATTCCTCTCTGTTCCTTCTTGGCTGTGCTAATGAGCAGACGTGAGCAGACATGTGCTACCATGGGGAACCATGTTAAACTCTGTTGCTTCTTTTTCTTCCTTGGTGGATGTGATGTTGAACTTGCAGCAGTGAGCCATTATTAGATGTGAATTCCTAACCGTGGGTGAGATCAAACGTGTGGGGAAGGGGATTACTAGATAGATAGATTAAAAAGGGTTGTTGCTTCGTGGGTCTGGGCTGTATGTTTGTGATAAATTTATAGTATTGTGTTGTTGCCTTCTAATAAATACCTTTTAATGTAGACGAACCTTGTGTATTATATATATTAATTTGGAATTACACCAAAACTTGTTTGGGAAATTTTTTAGGTCACATGGAATTCAGTCATTCGTTTTGGCTCGGTCGAATGTTAATTCAGAAACCGAATTTTAAGAGCAAACAAAAAAAGTGTGAAAATGGGCCAATCAATGCTGCAAAATATGTATATAAAATATTTTTTATATATTTTACAGTACACTGATAGATGTATTTTCACAGATCAAATGAGAAAAGGTAACCAATAGAGGAGAAACAGAGATGGTAGTAAAAATAACTATATTTATATGTTTATATACCATATTTTTATTCAAAATAGAATATAAAAATATATTTGGTTTTACGGTTCCTCCTTTGTCTCCCTCTATTGGGCACTTCTTACTAAAGATGTGAATAAAATTAACATTTAGTGAGTGTCCCCTATCCATTAATCCTCTCTTTTCCCACCAATTGTCTTTTTCTTTGGCGCCACAGGTGAAGTACAGAAAATTGACCTCATTGAACATGTTTGGCCATTGCACGTTTCGATTAGTCCATAATTCGGGTAAATTTCATCTTCTTCATATTTCAGCTATTTCAGAACCCTGCCGAACACCTGTTAGTCTAAAATTCGACCAGATAGCTTTTTTGTCCAAATCTAATTATAACTGATTTATTATTATTGACATTTATATAACGCCAAGTTATTCTACAGCTCTTTATAATATTATAAAGGGAGAAATTTAACATTGAATAAGACAATTACAAAATGTTACAGGAACAAAAGGTTTATGAGTATACAATCTGGCGATATTTGGCCACAAAAATCTGAATGCACGACTTAATGGGGCACGGTGGAGCCATACTACATTGGCATCAAATATTCCTTTCTAAATAAGTGCATGGCATAACAACTACATATGTTCAGTGCAGCCAACGTGCATATTGCCAACTACTTTCTGGTAAATTGTGCAATTAAAGCACAATGTTAATTGGATGCACAAGCTCACTTGGATTTCTCATCTGGATGTGCATGCACAGTAATTTTACATGATCTACATGTACATGCTTTGGTTGAGTAGAAAATATTGGTACAACCAACACATCTGTTTAAAACCCAGAGAGAACCCCAGAAGGGAACACTTTGCTCAATATCTCTCTTTCATGTCTCGATGGAAGAACATCTTGCACCTGACTACTATTATAATTTATTTATTTATTTATATGTTTATTTATTTGTTTGTGTTTTGTACATGGTGAGTGTTTTATTCCTTGTTCACTTGTTAACTGTGTTGCTTTAAAAAAGTTTTAACAACATTTAAATAGTTTTCTATCTGAAAGACAGGTTTAAAATCCTAATGTAATAGATAAGATAAACAGAGAAAGGTTGGGCCAAATAATAAACTGTGTAGAAAGATACTGGAAAAAATAATATAAAAATATTAAAATGTAAAAAAATATAAAAAGAGTCCAACAACAGAGATGATGGTAACAGATAACAATCAAATAGCAGAAAGAAAGAGTCCTAATGCACAACTTGCCAGGAAGATAACCAACCTTTTGGAATCCGAGAGAAGTGCAATACGTCCTATAAAAATCGTTATTTAAAATACAGGATCTGATGTGGTCCTACGCATGTGTAGTAGAGCTTAAAATCAGCTCTAGTATGGATGGCATACAGCGGTACATTCCCCAATTTAATTGAGCAGGCGGACTGATCAATGAATCAAGCGTGAGTGGTATAATCCCCACCTTGGATTTCTTTGGAGTAATACTTAACTGGAATAGTAAAATCTGGTTATCAGGCAGTGATAGTAATAGTAATACAAATAGTAATAGTAAAAAAAAAAAAAGTAAAATGGCACACTCAAATAGTTAAAAGTAGCCAAAATACCTTTACTTAACAAAATTAAAATATCCACAGCGCGTTTCGCCTATATGGCTTTCTCAAGTTTGTACCGTTTTTAAGGGATTATACTGCTGTATGCCATCCATACTAGAGCTGGTTTTAAACTCTACTACCCGTGACTAGGACCACATCAGACCCGGTATTTTAAATACTAATTTTTATAGGACGTATTGCACTATTATCTTCTCTCTGTTTCCACATACAGATTCCAAAAAGTTGTCCCTATCCAGCTCCTCCTAAGAACATTCTTCCCCACAGACTGTTTGTTATCTTCCTGGCAAGTTGTGCATTAGGACTCTTTCTTTCTGCTATTTGATAGTTATTTTTTAACCATCATCACTGTTATTGAACTCTTTTTATATTTTTTATATTTTTAAAACATTTTATGTTCTTTTTTTATATTGTTTTATTTGCAGTTTTTCAAGTACGCATTATACAGTAAATCATGTACATGAATCCACATGTTACACATTTTTCAAGATTGATGTGCAAAAAACAGTAATAGTAACAGTAAGTTTATAGGTAAAACATGAGCTTTCCATCTTTATCTTACTTGGAATTTTGACCCTTCTTATTGCGTACAGCTTTTACAGTTTTGTTTAACCAAATATAAATTAACAAAATTTAACATATTAACCCTGGGTATGGGGGAAGAGGGAGGAAGGGAGGAAGGAAGGAAGGGGTGTAACGGATCGACGGGCACCCCGACTGGGTACCTCCATTGAAGGATGATCCTAGCTCCAAGCACTCCAGCAGACACTATAACCACCGTAGACTCCTCAAGATAGCAAGGCAGGACCAAGCTCTTACGAGAGCTTAGTAGTGATTTAGTAAGGGAGTATGACAAGCATAGCAATCCCTTGTAGCAGATTCCCCCAATAAGAGACAGAACTCAGACTGAGGGTGAAGTAGAACTGAACTTTTATTCAAACACTCTGCTTTTATGCCCATTCTACAAACATAGTACCGCCCACAGGGTTTTGAAGTACAACCAATCAATACATACAATACACTCAGACACTCCCACACAAAATCCTCCCCTCTGCCTGTGATATAATTACTGAACACAATGGGCTAACATAATTATCACAGGCAGGAAAATACACAGTTTTGCACAATATTCATAACTCCAAAAGTATACATCACATTCACATAAATTCTCAGAATCAGCATACTCCAAATACAAACATACGTCAAAATCATACAAATTGGTCCAGTGGGTCAAAAGTTAGTTGGAAGTCCATTTGTGACCGCCTGCAAGCATGGCTTGGGTGTGGTAAGCCAATTATCTCCAGCATACAGAAAATAGTTCTATTCACAACAACAGTAAAAACACATATGTGTCTCAGGGTCATTTTTTAGATTGTGAAGGGATCTGTAGAAATCCGCCATAGCTTATTGATATCTTGCGGGTTGTATATTTCCCCCCCGATGGGTCTATCAAGTATGGAATTTTTTATTGGGGTTGTGTTTGGCGTAGCATCGCCGGTAAAGCTTTGCTGGCCCTATTTCCTTGTGTATACGTTTTCAGCTTCAATTTTTGCTGAGTGTATGTCGTTTTCTGGAGTAGGAGCTCATTTATTTTTTTGATTGTTTGACTAATTGCTGTGAGATATCTGTGGGATGTAGGAGATGGACGTTCGTTAGGTCTCTAAGGGTTCTAAGTAGATTAAGGTATTCATTGTATGTGGTGCATTTCAGGTGAGAAGTGTTGCTAATTAATAATCCTCAAATGACTGCCTTGTGAGCTTGCCATATGGATGTAGGTGGAATGTCAAAGGTTATATTGTTCTCAAAATAGGAAGAAATGTCAGCCTGCAGTTTGTTTTTGAAGCTAGTGTCATGCAAGAGAGCATCATTTAAGCACCATGGAGAGCATGAAATATAATCACAATGCTATGCATTGAAGCCAATCTATCAAAAGAAGTATTGTGGCATGCCCTAACTAGTGTGGCAAGCCCTAACTAACCCCCTTTATCTATAATTTTTTAATATGTTTACAGTGCGGAGGTCCATTATTAATTGTGACTTGTGGTATGTGCGATAGTGGGATCTGTGCTTTAGTGGATGCTTAGTCCCATCTTGTATCCGGGCAGTGAGACTGAAAATACCCGGGTAGCTAACTAATTTTTTTTTCTTGATATAGTAAAGCTGCCTACCACCTTGGGGAGGGGTACAAACTATGATTGTTCCAAATCCTTATGGAAAATGTATGCCCCAGGTCTGTAGCTTGCGAAGACCGTCTTCCGGCGATGTGATCACTGCTATGCTGCCTTCTCTGGTGACCAGCATTATTGTTGGGAACCCCCAGCGGAATCGGATGGCGTGCAGAGTATCAACAACCTGGGAGAATTCCTTCCGCCTGCGGAACGTTGTAGCAGAGAGGTCGGCAAAAACCCTGATGGTCGGGTAGTTTTCTGAAAGGTCGAGCTTTGTTGTGGCTGGCCCTGAGTACATGCTCTTTGATATGGAAGTAATGGGTTTGCAGTAACACATCTCTCGGTGCAGTGTCTGGAAGGAAACATGGGCGCGGGAGCAGATGTATGCGGTCGACCAGCAACATGTCTGCTGGGATCTCTGGCGGTAGGAGACCTCTTACATTTGCCGGTAAGTCCGCAGGGAGCACAGTCTCCGGTACTCCCCATAGGCGCAAGTTATTGCATCTCGCCCTGTCCTCAAAATCTGCTAAATTCGTTTCGGTGGCTTCTAGTTTCTGCTCTAACTGTTCCACATGATTAGCTAGATCATTATATGCAGTGGCAAAGTCGTCTAGTTTGGACTCCATGTCTGAAGTATGTCTGCCTAGCTTCTGCACATCTTTTCTCAGCGAGTCCATGGAATGTTGCTACGATGTTATCAGCTTTTGTGAGAGTGCATCAAGTGCTTGTAAGAGATCGCTTTTAGTAATCCTGTCTGGGTCCGTCGAGGCCTCCATAGCAGGTATTATGTGGCCGTCCTCGTCGCCATCTTTAAGGAAGGCCCATGCCTCTAGTTGCTCAGTTTGTGTTTTCTGGCCCAAAAAGTTTAGTTTTTCTGCTTTTGCAGAGTTCTTCTTACTTTTGTGCTGTGCCATAATGAAAGGGGTTGTTTAAGTTGCCTTCTGAGTGCTAGGATTGAGCTGGATTGCGAGCCAATATGCCAGAGCTAGGGATCAAGCAGCCATCTTGCTCGACGGTTAACCATGTCCCCCATTTTTATATTTTTATATTCAACATTGCACCTAGAATATGCTGAAAGAGGCTGTGCTGGAGAAGATTATGCCTCAAGTGGCTATATGTGGTACTGCAGTTGTGAAAATGGCAGATTATAAAAGTAGTTAATACTATGATATTTCTCCTTGATTATTAGCACTTTGGTGGTCTTGTGAGGATGGGACAAGCTTTGAGGTAAGATGAGCAAAGCATCTTAATTTATATGATGTTCAGAGAAGGGGCATGAGAGACTACGGGAATATCTAGGTCCTGGCTATATCTAAAACATATTAAGTTGTGAGTTTTTGGGCATTTATAATTGTGAATTTAATATTTTACTTTAAAGGGACACTATAGTCACCTGAACAACTTTAGCTTATTGAAGTAGTTTTGGTGTATAGATCATGCCCCTGCAGTTGCACTGCTCTTTAGGAGATAAATCACTTTGGTTTCCATTTTTGCAGTGACTGACACAGCCTGCATTCAAACAAAATGGTTTCATTTTTAATCAGATATCACTTAGTTTAAAATATTTTATCTCCTGCTCTGTAAATGTAACTTTAATTACAAATAGCAGGTTCCTGCAGGGTCTAGCAAGCTATTAACAGAGCAGGAGATAATAAATACTAACTTAAGCAGAATTTGCAATAAAGAAAATGTAAACATTAGATGACTCTTTACAGGAAGTGTTTAGGAAGGCTGTGTAAGTCACATGCAGGTAGGTGTGACTAGGGCTGCAAAAAAAAAAAAAGTGATTTAACTCCTAAATGGCAGAGAATTGAGCAGTGAGACTGCAGGGGCATGATCTATACACCAAAACTGCTTCATTAAGCTACATAGTTACATAGTTACATCGCTGTAAAGAGACTTGTGTCCATCAAGTTCAGCCTTCCGCACATAAAGAAGGCAAAAAAAACCCAGCTTGAAGCACTTCCAATTTTGCAACAAACTAGGAAATTAACTCCTTCTTGACCTTTAGAATGGCAGTCAGATTAATCCTTGGATCAAGAAGCTATTACCCTACATTGAAAAATTATATCATTGAATATTCAGATTTTGCAAGTATGCATCTAGTTGCTGTTTGAACATCGGTATGGACTCTGATAAAACCACTTTTTCAGGCAGAGAATTCCACATCCTTCTTTGCCTTAGACAAAATCTTCTTTCTTCCAGTCTAAACGCATGACCTTGTGTCCTATGTAAAGTCCGGTTTGTGAATCGATTTCCACATAATGGTGTGCAATTGGCCCCGAAAATATTTGTATAATGTTATCATATCCCCTCTCGTGATGTTTTTCTAAACTAAAGAGGTTTAAATTTGTTAACCTTTCTTCATAGCTGATATGTTCCATTCCTTTTATTAATTTTGTAGCCCGCTTCTGCACTTTTTCTAGTGCCATAATATCCTTCTTTAGAACAGGTGCCCAAAATTGCACAGCATATTCATTATGTGGTCTTACTAGTGATTTATAAAGAGGCAAAATGATATTCTCATCCCGAAATTTGAGTGCCCAGTCCCCCAGTCTATCTAATTCCCGCTGCAGCAAATTAATATCGTGCTCACATTGTACTACTTTACAGAGTTTTGTGTCATCTGCAAACACTGAAACATGACTTTCAATGCTTTTTTTCAAGATCATTTATAAACATGTTAAATAGAAGGGGTCCCAGAACAGAACCCGGAGGGACACCACTTGCCACCTATGTCTAGCTTGCAAATGTACCATTAATGACAACACTTTGTACTCTATTTTTAAGCCAATGTTCTACCCAAGAACAAGAACTTTCATCTAGACCGATTTGTTTGAGTTTGAACACTAATCTATTGTGTGGAACTGTATCAAATGCCTTGGCAAAATCCAAGCGAAATTTGTTTTGGTGACTATAGTGTCCCTTTAAATTTCCAATAATTCTCACATTGGCGAATAACTCAGTAAGTCTTTCAGAGTGTGCCCTTTTACTCCTGTGTTACATTTTTTATATGTTCATCTCACCTAGCCATTCTAACAGCTATGCTTTCTCTCTTATTTTCTGGAAAACCATTATTCTGCCCAAGGCTTTTTTTGCTACGTTTGTATCATCTGGGCTGCATGATGAGTTGGGCAAGCCAGCAAGTGTAAGCGTGCACGGGTTCTTGACCTGGTATAATGCTGTGCTGACTACGCATCATGACCTGAACGAGAAAGTCCTTTCTGATTTATGGTTCACCCTTACTCCTGAATAATGTCAGCAGCTGTCACAACACAAAGATACAAAGTAACGTGTCATGCTAATCTCTAACCACATTCAGTTTATTGTAACCTAGTTGGTTGCACTGGGAAAAAAAGTCAGTTTATCAATGTCAACCTTGTCCAGAGCCTACTGGGTCTAATCGAGTGGGCAGCAGATCAATATTTGCTTGTATACCTACCAGACTAATTACATATTTCAGAGCATGCTGCACGTAAAAACTGAAAATCTATTCAAGCACAATGAGAAGAGAAAGACGCCAGGTGAAAAGGGGAATGTTATTAAGAAATCAAAGAAATATATGCAAATTCTCACCAACAGAAACAGAAAAAGAGAGTCTACAAAGCTGTGTCCATTCACTTCGCTAGTTTTCATTCATTCTTTAACAATGAATGAGACCATTGTAAGTCCACTCTGTATTTACAAAATGATTTGCGGCTATGTGTTTCCTCCAAAGCCTCCTTGGAGAGGGGTGTTTGTGTAGAAAAATATGGCACCATCATTGACAGCAACACAATATATATTTGTACATTTCTTTCTCCTTGTCAAATCTTCCCCTTGGAAATGGCTAAGGGGTTAATGTGATTTTTTTGTTTATAAAAAAACTTACTTTAAAGTCTGCAACATTTGCCATTAACAGTTATAAATATAGTAAGGAAAGTTAAAGGAACACTATAGGGTTAGCAATACAAATGTTTATTATTCACCCTGTAGTGCTAAAATATTTAGGTTTCCAACCCCACTTAAATAGGGTTAAAACTTATGTATCTTTAGTCCAGCACAGCATGGGTCTTTTGGCGCGCCATGCAGATTGTGGAGATGCTGAACATCAGTGCTGCACACTCTGCAGCCATGTCCCTTGACCAACTTTTGTGGTCCTCTGAGTGACTGCCACTGGAGGTATCCCCAGGCAGCAATGTAAACACTGCCTTTTCTCTAAATAGGCAGTGTTTATGTGAAAATGCTTGCAGGGACTGACTATAGTAACCAGAACAACTACATTAAGCTGTAGTTGTTCTGATGACTATAGGGACCCTTTAAAATAAAACACATGCCTTGTCTCTGACACCTCAGCAGGTAGTTAGAGACTCTCGGTGTGAGCAAGCCAATCTGCACTCTCTAATTAAATGCTGAGTATGTGCTACATTATTATTGTGTTTTCACATTTTGGAGAGCAATGCATCATGCTGCTCTCCACTGTGTCACTGAAAAGGTTAATTTTACAAATGTAGCTCACCTAGTGCATTGACACCAGTAAAATGGCTTTTTTGAGCCCGTGAAACAGCAAGACTTAATTTTGCTGCAGCACAAATTTTTTAAGCTTCAGGCTCGTTAAGACAGAAAATATAAAGTGCTGGGCTGTTGACCAGTTTAAAGTTTACATCAAGTTTTTTTAAATGTATTTATTTATCTATTTGACACATGACACGTGTCAGAGAAACTTGGAATATCATATTATATGGCAGTTTGGAACTCTTGTAGATGACAAGTGTACAGATGCACATTTTAATCACCAGTTCTTTGATTCTCATCTATCTTCTGCTTCCTTGTATATTAATGCTGGTTTTAAAAGGTCAAACGAGACAAAACACAGGTAATTTTCCATTCCACAGCTTCCTAAACTAATTTATTTGTCACTGCAGACTTTCCACCAGTTGTTGCTAAGTTCTTGTCTTTGCAATCTGGGAGCAATCAGTCAAGCTGTGTGGGTCTGCATGCATTTGATGACTTCTTGTCTCAGAAGTTTCTCGAAAATAAAATACTAAATAAAAAATAAAACACTAAAAGATGGACTTTCTTGGAGAAATGGTCACTGGTTGTCCTTGCTGTGGCTGACTTTTAACAATTTCATGATAATCCTTATTCCCAGAAACATTGATGGAGTTTTACCATAATGAATTGTCCTAAAATGGCCAAAGAGCTAGTATTTCCTGAACTTGGGGTGACAGGTAAGAAGGCAGGCTCTTGGTGATATCAGAACAGGGAGTATGTAGGCATGAGTGATATAAAGAAGAAGGATTATTATCATTATATGGC